ATAGACCCCCCAACCGGCCATTTGAGATGTGGAGAGCTGAGAAAACATACCAAGGGTGTTGATACACTATTTTAGTGATCTCCACTTGCATAGTGCTTAGTGATTCATTAGATGATTAGCATAGGTGCTTTGCGAAGTGCTTAGGTTGATTAGATCACCGCTTATGCGCTTGCTCTAGGTTTAGCCCTAGTGTTTAGTGAGGTTTGCACACCTCTTATCGCTCGGTGCTTGCGCGCACCATTGTTGTACATCGGAGGGGCTTGTAGTCTTGCGAGATCACACCAACCGCGTTTGTGGTGTGGCCGCCACCGTGTACCGGAGGGAACAACGCCCGCGGCGTTTCGGTCGGAAGCTTGATAGTGAAGACGGCGGAGAGCATCCAGGAGAGGCTTGCTAGAAGGCACGTTGGAGACCCACTTGCATGTGGGGAAGGCCCGAGGCTATCCACAGAGTTACCTAACCGGGAGCTTGGCCCTTATGAGGGGCTTCAACGATGACTAGAGGGAAGCTTACGCACTTCTCGATACCTCGGTAAAAATACCAGAGTCGTCGACAAGAGTTTACATATCTCTACCTTACCCTTTAGCTTTCACATTTATATTGCAATCTTGGTGTGTGCTTTACTTTCCTAGCTTAGTGATAGGCTAGTTGATAGGTTTAGAACCTAGGTTGCATAACTTCTTTTTGCGGTAGAGATAGCAACACACTAGCAAAACCATAGTTGCACATTTAGATAGTTTATCCTTTTGCATAGGTTTTGCTAAGGTTAGAACAAGAGGCCATAGTTTAGAGTTAGAAGTTTTAAGTTGCCTAATTCACCCCCCCCCCTCTTATGCGTCGGTCCCTTACACGCAGCCTGTCCACCAGCTCACGCGCGGCTCGTCCTCCCGCCGCGCCACCCATCCCCCCGCCATCCCGCCGCGCCGCCCATCCCCCACCGCACCCCACGGGACCACCTAAGTATCGCTTGTTTGCAACATTAAAACAAGTCTACTGCAACATCAGAACAAGGAGACTGCAACAACAGAACAAAGGTACTGCAATGCGAGATGTAAGATCAGAAAAAAGAGACTAATGCAACAAAAAATATTATTTGTTGTAACATCAGAACAAGGTTACTGCAACAACGAAACAAAGTGCAATGCGTGAAAGCAACATCGGAAAAAAGACTAATGCAACAAAGAAATATTACTTATTACGACATCAGAACAAGGCTATTCCAATGCGAGATGCAACATCAAAAACAAAAAAAAAGAGACTGATACAACAAATAAATATTACTTGTTACAATAGCAAAACAAGGTTACTGCAACAGAGCTCGCCGAAACCCTAGCCACCCTGCGTCCCTCAGATCCAGAGGAGGAGGAGGAGGAGGCTCAGATTCAGAGGAGGAGGAGTGCTCAGATCCAGAGGAGAAGGTGAAGGAGGAGGAGGAGGAGGGCTCATATCCAAAGAAGGACCCACCTACCTCATCGGAGCCGCTGCCGTCGCCCTCGTCTCCTATGGAGGGAGCAGGAGCCATGTCGCTGGGGGCGCATGGAACCAATGGAGTCGTGAGAGGGGGGAGCGAGCATCGGCTTGGGGATGGGGTGACAGTGACTGGGCGCGGCGTCCGTCCTGGTTGCGGGAGTGAGCAAGGAGGAATGGCTGTAGGAGTGAGTGAGGAGAGGATAAGGATGAGTGCGGGAGACAGCTTCTGGAAGACGGTGTGCGGCAGGGGTGGGTCGGTTCAGCGCGGCTTTGGATGCGTGCGGCAGGGGCGAGTCGTTTCGGCATGGCTTTTGGTGCATCCGTTCCCGTCCGGACGACCATCATGTATCATTATTGTTTGAGATAGTACCACCTAACGAGTAAAAGGAGTACCATAACACTACCCCATATCCCGTGGATAATTAATGGTATAATGGGAGTAGGTCAAAATGGCTCATTCCGCACTCGTTGCTACCACTACGTGAAAAAAGGTTTGTAGCAACAGCACGAATTTTTTATAGGGGCGGCTAGTAATGGAACCGCCCCTACAGTGACATGCTGAGAAGCCCAGAAACCAGCCGCCCCTACAAATGAAACAGCAGGGGCTGCTGGTGATACGAGCCGCCCCTATAAATGGGTCTGATTTGTAGGGGCGGCTCACTCACCAGTCGCCCCTGGTGTTAGTATTTGTAGGGGCGGCTGGTGATTGAACCGCCCCTACCAATGTCCCGACGTACACCAAACCAAAATATCATCAGCCGTCTCGACTCTTCCTTCCCCTCCCTCTCTCTCTCTCTCTCTCCCTCGCTCGTTGTCCCGCGCCGCACCCTTCCTCTCCTCCGAGCCCCTCCATCTCTCCCCCACGCCGCCCCTCCCTCTCCCCCACGCGGTGACCCTCCCTCTCCAGCGGAGGCGCATTGCGTCGCACCCCCCCTCCTCCAGCGCCGGCGTCGCACCCCCCTCCCCTCATCGCCTCTCGCCGGCAAAGAAGAGGGAGGAGCAGCATAGGCCGGCCGTGAGCACGCGCCCCTCCCTTCCCTCCCTCCCTCCGTCGCCGCTGTGGGCGAGGCGCAAGGCCCACCCGATCCGTTCCTCCCTCACCGTGAGGAGGCGGAGGAGGATCTGGGAGGGGAGGGAGCCAGGTCCGGCGCACCCACCCGCTCTCATCCGCGCCGGCGAACGCCAAGCGTGCCCCCACAGGTTGGTGTGCTCCTCTTCCTCGTCTCTCTTTTCCCTTCGAGCTGGCGGCCTAGGATTTCATTTCTATCAATCACGTACTCATCCTAGCTAGGGTTTCCGGGTTTCCAAGCGTGAGAATGCATTCTTTCCCCATCGATTCGAGTGGAATGATTAGGGAATTGGCGTGCCTTGTTCGGGGCTCTGCGAGATAGGTTATGGTTCGAATCTGCCATCAGGGAAATGGACCCGTTCTTTTCGGATCTGCGGGGAAATTGATCTCGTTTCATGGCCAATACGAAAGGACCGGACCTAATTTCTCACCAAACCGAATTCCAAAGCAACGTTTATGGGACCTCGACCTCCCTAGAATCGTTGTTTGTCTCTAGGGCTAGTTTGGGATTCTAGGGTTTGCTTAATGGGTTGCGTGCTTGCGTGCCTTATCCTGTGGTTCCTCCATAGTGCTTTAGGCTTTCATCAGTGGTATGTTGGCATGTGTTACAGTGCTGCTTTGATTTTTTGTTCTTGGAGATAGATTGTTTCCGTCTGGGTACTTGTTATGGTTCATAGGTGTTTCTGTTTCCTGCATGGTTACGGTTATTGTGGGGTGGGTTGGGAGAATCAGATTTAGCATCGAGAAATCTGAAATGTTGATTCGTTGATTCCAATGAAATTTGCAGCTTCTGTTTCTTCAACTGGTTTTGCTATTCTGTTTTGTCATTTTTTTATTATGCTAGTACATCCTCTGCAAGTGGAGAATGGATTACCTATCATTTCTGTTTACATCCTTTGGACTCATTGTATATAAGCTGAAAAGCTTCCATTTATGTGTATGATTGATAATACTAAGACCAAATGGCAAAAGAGTCACATAAACAAAATAGCACTTAACAATTCAGTGCAGAAACTAAAGGAGCAAATTTCCACTGGTAAAATCAAATATAACATTTCCTAAGCGTCAAATTGATGGTTACTTCTTTGAGATAGATTGTTTTCGTCTGGGTACTTGGTCTGGTTCATAGTTGTTTCTGTTTCCTGCACTACAAATGTAATCTCCAAATGTTAGGGTTTGTTTTTGAAATGATAGTGGGTAGTATTTGTTTGAACTTGTGGAAGTCTTTGGATCCAACTAGCACTTCAATTAACTTCAACTATCAAACTATCATGTACTGAAAGGTTAAGCTCTGAAATTTCTTAGAAATGCCTTGGATATCAACTATGCTACCTTACTGCTTTTTTAGTCTTCATGACACAGCATATAGTGAGGTACAAAAAATCAGTTTCTCAGAATCCCTGTCTTACTTAGTATATTGCTACTCAGTGGGGTGTTTTAAATTTTAAATGATATTTCAGTAAGCCTATATTCCTCATGAGTTGAAACATCTTGTCTGTCAAGTACTGCTTTAACTACTTAATTTCATCTTGTAATGTATTCCATCCGTCTGCCCTCTGGCTCATAGGTGAATTTTATTTATTCCTGAATCTTGAAGGCGGATTGTTGCAGTACGGTGCGCATGTGTGCATGTATAGACACTGATATGGATTTCTCCTTTCATTTTCTTTATAACTGGGGCTTAATTTCCTCCCTACATTTCAGGTGCCAGTCTTCTAGTATACCAGCTTATCATTTATCGCTGGGTTCATAAAATTCTTGGAGCAGTGAACTCATCACGTATTGCATCTGTGAGTTGTCACCTATTGTGTCTTTAAAAAGAAAAAAATAAAAAGTATATTCATGATCATAGCTTAAATTTCAACTATGGTGTTGCAGGCTGTGTCTATACTTGTTCTTGCAACTTATCCCTTTATGACATACCTATCGGGAGTGAAACTTTCATTTGCTCTTTATTCTGCTGCCATGATGAGAAGTGCTCTTGCAGCAAGCCTTTTTTCTTTCAATTGTTTCTTTATAGTTCAAATTAATAAATGATAACTTTCTGAACAACTAAGCTAAAGTAGTGGCAAATAAATAGAAGTAGTTTTCCATAATTTAATGGTATTTAAGTCTACATAATTTTATTTTGCAATATATACAGATCACTGTCAACACAGGAATTTCCCTTCTACAGAATAATGATGTAGTACGTATGAACTCAAGTGAATCATTTATTTTTGGGATAGTACGCTTACACAAATCAAACAAAATAATGTAATATATCTGAAACTAAATTCCAGTGCCAAGAACAAAGAGGCACCGCAAATGGTATATCAACAACTGCAATGTCATTCTTCAAGTCAATTGCTCCAGTACGTGCAGGGGCTCTGTAAGTCATTATTTCTGTCTCTCCTTTTCAAACAATACATGAGTATCCAGCGAATGTGTAGGTGATCAGATGGTGTTCATGGTGCTGAATCTAGTGCAGCTCCTTGGCTGATATCCACCTTTGAGCCCTTTCTGGTGTTATCTGCATTGCATCGAGCGAATATTGGTTTTCACATTACTTTTCATATACCTATGTGCAGTCTCATAGTTTAAATGAACAGCAAGCACAATAATTTGCACCGTGTATTGTCATGGAATATTTGTTATAATCTGGTATAAATAAATGTGTATTGTCATTGAGTTTCAGTACAATCGCAGTAGAAGATAAGTCATGATAGAGTTGTGCATGAAAAATATATGTTCTGGTCAAATTTAAATTGTAAATTTAATTTTTTTTGCAGAAAAATGATTTGTAGGGGCGATTGGTACTGTAGCCGCCCCTACAAATCGATTTGTAGAGGCGACTCATGTTCCCAGACCGCCTCTATAAGTCGATTTATAGAGGCGGCTACAGTACCAACCGCTCCTCCAAATCAATTTGTAGAGGCGATCTGGGAACCGCCTCTACAAATCAGCGATTTGTAGCCACCCTTTCATAGGGGCGGCTGGCAAAACCGTAGCTAGAAATGGTTACCAGCCGCCCCTAAAAACGGTTTTCTACGTAGTGTACTACTTGCACCTGTACTGTGAACTCTGAGCTCGCTACTCATCAGAATTTGTACGTGGAACGAAATGCAAGCTCGGGGCGAATTGAGCGGTACCTGTCTTCGTCAGATTGTCTTGCTTCTTTGCCAATATGAAATCTCGATGATTGGCCAGCTACCTGGTAAGCGAGCTTCTCCGATAGGTGCATGGCTGCCATATCCATGTCGTCGTCAAGCAAGTGTTCTAGTTCATCCCTAACCTGTCAGAACTCAGAAACGTCCTTAGTATTACCCAAATTCTCTAGCATATATAAATTAATTAAATAGCACAATAATGGTGTTTTCTGCAGGCTAGCATGATAAAGGAGATGTCCGGCCGGCAGCTTACCTTTTGAACCCGACCAGAAATAGCAACTAACCGGCTCTTTATTTGTCTTACACGCTCAAGATTAAGAGTGCTGACTTTGGATGACAGTTCATCTAAAGCTGGGTATGCCTCTTTCTCCAACGTGGAACTCTGATGAAATGAACCAACAAGCAAGTATTCAGGATTTCCCATTCTCGACTTGTACCACTGTACCAGAAATGTTAAGTTTAAGGTACTCCATCTTTATCTCCTATAAGAGCGAAGAGAGAGAAAAAAAACTAGGACCATTTGCTTGGATTCACATGAAAGCATGGAATGCCTATTGCTATATGGCTTGGATTAACTATTATTTGTTAAACTTTATCTATAGCTATTCCAAGAATAATACTTCATGTATCAAGTTTGGGTTGGAAATATTATTAAACATAGTTTCTTATTATATTTTTGTTTGTTGCCAAGGCTGTTTTATTTAATATATACTACTCTCTCCATTCCAAATTATTGTAAGTTGTTTTGATTTTTCCAGGTTTATAGCTTTTACAATATATCTGGACATAATGTGTATCTAGATGCGTAACAAAAACTATATATCTAAAAAAGACAATATGACTTACAATTTGGAATGAGGTAGAGTAGCCAATATACTCATACACTGCAATGGGACATTTAGCTTGTTGCATTATATAGAGAGAGAGACTATTGGGAGCATAGGGCTCCCAATAATTACTCGAAAGCCCTGACCCAGCCTCAGTTGGGCTGGTTCCAACAAACCAGCTCCCAACCAGACCTCTTATTTCCGTGCGTGCAAGGGAGGCCACCTGCCCTCACGTGGTCCCCATGCTGGCATCGTTGGCAGGGTCCTGTCCCCTCCATCGTGGCAGGATGGGGTGGTCCCCGTGTGACGGGGGGGGCCGCTCCCGCCTAGCTCGCGGCGTCCGTGCGGTCCCCGTTCGTTTGACCGCACGCATCTCTAGGTGGTTTTGGTAATTGAGTGGCAACCCTAGTAGACTAATTATATTTATTTGAGATACACATGTGATTAGATCACAGGTACATGTGTGTGAGCAACATATGCCATGGAGGTGGAAATGGCTAAGAGATGTTGCAAAGCTCACACATGTGATGATGAAGGAGCTCATTGCACATGAGACATGACATTGAGTCATGTGATCAAGGTGGAGAAGATCAAGACATGACTTGGCTTGATGGACTGGTTGCAAGCGTGAAGGGCAAGTTGGAAGCTTTGGAGCGATGGACCGCGTGGTGGTGAAGCTTGAGCAAGACTTGGCTTCGATGGACCGAGGCAACGGTGAAGAGCAAGTGAAGTTAAGATCGATGAACCAATATGATCACGTGATGATATAGAGTGAATCATATCATTATCGATCATGTTGGTGCATGTGTTGCATCGATATTGGAGGAGATGGAATGGAATGCGCAAGGCAAAGGTATAACCTAGGATATTTCATTTCACCGGTCATAGGTGTGTAGAAAAGTTGATATCCGGGTTTAGGATAGATGGCCGTACTATCAAGAGGAGCAAACTTATTTGCATATTGGTCATCTAGTGCCACTCGAGTGATCTAACTTTGCATCGTTGCTAAGATCAAGTGGCGCGGCAAGTTGAGTGGTTAACTCCTTGAAAATGTTTGTGAAAAAGCTAACACACGTGCACAAGGTGTTGTACACTTGTTGGTGTTAGCACACTTGCAAAGGAGAAGAAGTTAGAGTTGATAAGGATCAACTCGGTGCAGAAATGGAGGCGAGAAGGTGTCACTGTGAGTGACCGGACGCTGGCCTCGATGGGACTGGCACGTCCGGTCAGTGGCAGCAGATAGCGCGCGGTCTCGGTAAAGTGATCGGACGCTGGGCGAAGAAGTAACCGAACGCACAGTGGCCGCGTTCGGTCTGGGTGACGTACAGTGACGTAGGTGGCGCTGAAGTTGGCGCGTGGGTGCAGAGCTGATCGGACGCTGATCTGCATCCGGTTGTGCAGCAGCGGACGCGTCCGATCACAAAACAGAGGCTCGAGGAGCTCTCTGAAAATGACCGGACTCAGGCGTAGCAGCGTCCGGTCATCCTCGTTGTGCTGCGTCCGGTCGTTGTGTGACCATTGGCGCACGAAGTTACCATTGGCGCGCGATCAGACGCTAGACCGGGTGCGTCCGGTCGATCTAACCGGCGCGTCCGGTCAGCTCAAAAACGCCCAATGAAGGGGTAATGGCTATTTTATTCCATGGGGCTATAAATAGAAGTGTTGGTCAACCTTTGGCCATGAGCTTAGTAGAGCTGAGCACACTAGAGCCTTGGTGGCTTATGTGGTGGTGCTTGGGAGACCTCTAACTCACTCTAGCTTGATAGTGTTCATCCGATTGAGTGGGTGAGCGATTTTAGTGTGATTGCGTCGTGAGGTTGCATCGAGTGGCACTAGATGGTCATCTTGCAAGCTGGTAGTGCTTGTTACTCTTGGAGGTTGCAACCTCCTAGATGCCTTGGTGGTGGTCACCATCGAAGCCCACAAGAAGCTTGTGTTGTGCTCTGGAGAAGAGCTTTGTGAGGGGCATTGTGCTCGCCCCGCGGAAGCCACGAAGAGCATCTCTAGTAGAGCAAGACACGAAGGGTGACAAGTGGTCCTGCCGGGTCAAGTGCTAGAGCATGTGTTAAGCACTCCACGTGGGAGTGTGTGACTTGCGGGTCACTACTAGCAAGAGGACCGGCGGCAACCTTGGACCTTGTCTCAACGAGAACGTAGCGTATTGGCAAGCACGTGAACCTCGGGAGAAAAATCACCATGTCAACATTGTTCTTTCCGTTGGTTTGCAATCCCCTTACACAAGCTTGTAATTACTTTCATATATATTGTGCTTGTGTGGTTGCTCTTGTAATTAGTTAGCTTGTGTAGCTCACTAGTTATCTTCTTGCTTGTGTAGCATAGAAGTAGCTTCCTTGTGTGGCTAATTTGGTTTGTATAACCATGTTAGTCACATTGCTTAATTTGTGTAGCTAAGTATTTGTGCTCTCTAACTTGGCATTGGTTGCCTTGTTATTGAGCATTGCTGGTGAGCTTAGGAGCTTTGTGCTTTTGCTTACTAGAATTGTGTAGGAGCTCTCCGGTGTGCAAAAATACTTGTGGCATAGGTTTATGTGACATTGCTCCTAGAATTGGATAGGTGAGCTCTAGCTAGCCCGACACCTTTGTTGCCTAATTAGGATCTTTATAAGGTGTTTGTGAACTTCAATAGAGGGGTGTAGTCTTGGCTAGACCGATTGTTTTAATTCCGCATTTGTTTTGGTTAGCCGGCGCGATTAAATTTAGAAAGGACTATTCACCCCCCTCTAGTCCTCCATCTCGATCTTTCAATTGGTACCAGAGCTAGGTCCCTCATTTGTGGTCTTTGCAGACCCGAGAGGATGGTGAACTTTTGGCTAGATGTTGTTTGTGACACACATTTTTTATGGCACACACTATGCACGGTGGAAACATCATATGCTTGATCATTTCTGTGATTTGGGTCCCAAGGCATGGTGGATCATTGTTGTTGGTTTTTCTCGTGATGCCTTGGATAAGGACAACCTAACCCAAGCATAAGAGGATTGCTTACAACTTGATACATGTGTTCTTTATTATCTAACGTGTGCTTTACATGATGACGTTTTTAGACATGTGTGGGATTTGGAGAGTGCTCATGATATGTAGATGGCACTCCAAGCCTTCTACGATGACTCCTCCACAAGTGATGATAACAAATTCAAGAAGGAGGATGATCACAAGGTGGAGGCACATTAGTGTGTTGACCATGATCACAATTTGGTGATTATGGAAGATTGCTCCACCCCATGGTCAAGTGATGATGATGATGATGCTACCACAAAATCACTTGACAAGGTTGATGGTGATGCCTCAAGTGATGCACATGATGATCCTACCCCATACACACTTGATGGTGATGATGGTTCATGCTCGAGCCATGATTGTGATGCTACTATAAGCCCATCCACTACACCATATTGCTTCATGTCACAAGGTGACACCAAGGTATCAAATGCTAATATGGTTGATCATGTTGATTCATATGATGAGCTTGTTAGTAGACTTGCTAGCATGACCATGTCTTTAGAAAATGAGAAAGCTAAAACAATGAAATTGGAAAATGAAAACTCATTTCTAATGAACTCTTGTGAAGAACATAAGAAATTACTTGATGTTCTTAAATCTTCATATTATGAGCTAAAATTGAATCATGAGACACTACTTGCATCTCATGAAGAATTATTAGAGCAACATGATTCTCTCGTTAAAGTGTTTAAAAAGAAACTTAAAAATAATGAGAGCTCATCACATGGATCAAATGATAAATTGCAAAATGTTGCTAACCCTTGTGATGTAAGCAAGAAGCATGTATCCACCTCTTGTGATGATTTATTAGATATGTCATGCTCTTCATATATAAATGCTTGTTGTACTTCTATGTCTTGTGAGACTAACCTTTTCAAGGAGAACAATGACCTCAAAAATGAAGTGAAGAATTTGAGCAACAAGTTAGAGAGGTGCTACAACTCAAAAGTCACCTTTGAGCACATGTTAAAGACTCAAAGAAACTATGGTGACAAGTGTGGCCTTGGCTTCAAGAAGAAGATGACAAAGGGCGAAAGAAAGAGAGAAAGAAAGATGAGGAAGCTACAATAAAGAAAACTCTCTCATACCATGTGCTACTGGTGTCATAAAGCGGGACACCTTGCAAATGGTTGCCCTAACATTGAGAAGCTCAAGAAAATAAAAGAAGAGAAGAGGCTCAAGCATGTGAAGTGCTTCAAGTGCCGCACTTGGAGTCATCTTACCTCACTGTGCCCAACCAAGCAATTAGTGAATCAACTAGAAGAGCGTCAACCAAAGCCACAAGTTGAGCAAGAGAAGACACCCCAAGAGCAAGTCAAGATCTATCATGAAGATGGTGGTGACTTGATGATGACGAAGAAGAAAACTAGAAGGGGTAGAAAGGCAAGGCATCAAATGCAAACTCAAGATGCCAAGATGATGAGCAAGATACAAGATGAGAAGAAAGTCTATGCTCACATCAAGTGCTTTAAGTGTGGAAATACGGGACGCTTTGCCTCTAAGTGTCCTACTAAGCTTGAGAAGAATGCTCAAGTAATCCATGAGAGGCAAGACAATGGGAAGCACAATATGAGCAAGGAAGAGAAGGCTCAACAAAGAGAAAGTGCTACTCATGTCGGAAAAGG